TTTTATCATTGATTTTGGCTGCCTTTATAAATTCAAATATATTTTGTGGAAAGCATGCACGAAAAAATCTTCTCTTGCGCTTATTTGATAGAAAATTACGCCTTCCTTAAATTTTATTTTTAAAGAAAGGATTTCCTCCGGTTTTAAAAAAGTTTGTAAATTGCCGAATGATTTTGAAACCTACCGACTGCTAGAACTGAATTCAAGTTTTACAACCTGAATGCTGTGTTTATCCTGTTTAAGGAAAAGTACGTTCTTGCCTACGGTTTAAGGAAGTAGTTGCATAGCTCCCGTAGAATTTCGCAATAGACATGGATCATGCTGTCTATATCAGGAGCACCATTGATAAATTGACGGGTACGACGTGTTATGAATGAACAGCGCAGTCGTAAAAAAACTCAAAATTAGACATTTTTTAAAACCGAAGGAAATCCTTCCTTTAAGAATTAAGTTTAAAGAAGGCGTAATTTGCTATCAAAATAAGTACAAGAGAGGATTTTTTCGTGCATGCTTTCCATAAAATATATTTGAATTCATGAAGGCAGTCAAAATCAATGATAAAATGCATAACATTTAAGTAGCCATTTTTTACATAGCCAACTGTTCGCAGCGGTCAAAAAGAAGCCATCACCAGAGTCGGCATCCAGGCGTGACTGAAAATAATTGAAATTGGACTGCATGATAAACAGTATTGCAACCCTACTCAATGTTGGTTTGCCAGTGATTAGCGGTATTTTTCAAATTGCAGAATGTTTATTGCAGCATTCGCCGTACTTGAATATGTAAGGAAATCGAAACTCTGTAGATAAAATGTACACTACTTATGCAGTTATGTTTTATCGAGTGATGTTTTTCAGGATGTCGGATGACTCTCGCCCGAAAGCTGGCATCCTGGTCTGTCTGAACTATCTTGGAATTGTGCCGGACAATAAGGAAAACTGTAGTTACATTTAAGTAATCGTTCGGTCTCTGACTGCACGCCTTCTACTTTGCTCCTCTGAGGCGTCATTGATTTTTTTCCTGCTGCTCTTAAACCCGATGGGATTGTTCTTTTTCATGCCTTCCCTCCCCTCTACAGGTGGACTACATAGGCTTTACCGAGAAAGGAACCGGGAAAGATGGTGAGAAATGCAACTCCAATCTACAGACCAACGTGCAAATCAAACTTAATCTCCCTGACGGTCAAAAACGCGAGTATTCAACCTACACGAGGACCGAGGTGCACCCCGATTCTGACCTTGGCGGTTCTCTAACACCTCAAATAAATCTAAAAACCGAGCTATCCCTAGAAGAGGACTCTGACTCGGATGCGACATCGATAGCGACACCAAAGTCCACGCTGCCTACGCTCTTATCATCCTCTCTCCCAACTGTGCTGCCTATGGAGCACCCGGTTGACCGAACATTCAGCGCGCTGAGTTCGACAGAATTCGCTGCACACCGATACCCCTGCCAACTCAGCTCCAGAGGAAATTCGCTGCCGATATTTTCTGATTCCGACCTATCCGAAGCATGTCCCATCTTCCGCGGTAAATCCGTCTACCTCTCCGACAGTAATGAGTCCCTGCTCTCGAACGCCCTTTCCGCAGTACAGATTAATACTGAGGATTGATATAACAGCCTTCCGGGCGCATTGCCTAGACCGCGCATACAAAGGTCTCTTCTGTACACAATTCTATTGGTCTAAGGTCCTCTTTGCGTTGATTTAGTTTCCGTGCTACTTTCTTTGGGTTCAGCCACATGCCACTTTGATTTTTAGCCTTTATTTAATGTAATTTATTATTATTTTACATTCAACTTATTTTGTTTTCTCCAGCGTTTTTAATCGTCCGTTTTTTGTCTTGTATCTAAGGGTGGAGAAGCAGCTTATAGGGCGTTTCTGGTCATGGTAAATATCAATCTGGAATGCAGGACTTAATAATCTAATGTAAGAGGCAGGAGGATGCTCGTGAAGATAAATTGTTGGACCGGATTTCAGAACGGTCGATGGCCAAATGAACTTCATCAACTGTGAGAGCCGCAAGCAGATTAGTATGTGTAGCTTTATCGCAGCGGGAAGAACCCCTGCCGGTGCGAATTTCGGGACCGGTTGCGTGTTGGACGAGAAGTGAGACACCAAATGGAAGGAATAGTGTACTCTGTACAGAGAAAG